GAACTCTGATGGAAAGTTTGGTTGTTTTTTGTCTTGTCTAATGTACAAAGATTCTATGCCACAAATAAGATCTTAAAGAACTGATCCAATTTAACTGTACATGGTTGTCCATGGTTGATAAGAAAAAATGTGGAACATGTGGAATAATAATAATCATTATATATATTTAAATATATACATACATATTTAATATATTTAAATAAATTTATAAATACATATTTATTTATAAATAATAAATATATATAGGAACAATAATAGTAATAATAATAATTGCTTATACTTATATCGCGCTTTTCTGGACACTCCGCTCAAATCGCTTTGCAGCCCCACCTGGATGATGTGTCAACAGCCATAGTGCACCAGTACACTCACCACACACCAGCTATCAGTGGGGAGGAGAAGAGTGATGAAGCCAGTTCAGAGATGGGGATTATTAGAAGGGTATGATTAGTAAGGGCCAATGGGAAATTACTCTTTTCGAGAAACGCCCTGGGATTTTTAATGACCACAGAGAGTCAGGACCTTGGTTTTACGTCTCATCTGAAGGACGGCGTCTTTATACTGCGGCATTAGGACCCACAAAGACCACAGGGTGAGCGCCCCCTGCTGGCCCCAGTAACACCTCTTCCAGCAGCAACCTTAGTTTTTCCCAGGAGGTCTCCCATCCAGGTACTGGCCAGGCTCACACCTACTGAGCTTCAGTGGGCTGCCAGTTGTGAGCTGCAGGGTGATATGGCTGCTGGAATCAGTTGGAATAGATTCATGTGCATTCAATATTGAACTCAGTGGAAGATCACATGACACACCCTCCATTACTGTGTCGGAAAACCCAACTCTTTATCCATTTGATCTATTTTTAAACCACTTTTTCTAATTCAGGGTCGCGGTGACATCTATCCCGCAAGCAGCGGGCGCAAGGCAGGGTAAAGTCGGGATGGGATGCCAGTCCACTGCAGGACAGACACACACATATTGTCACGAGGGCCGAATTCCACATGAGCCCACCCACCATGTCTGTGGACTGCAGGAGAAAACTGGAACACCCAGAGGAAAGCCATCAAAACAAACAAGGGAAGGACATGCAAACCCATTGCAGACAGCACCACATTTTAGGAATTGAACCTGGAGCCCAAGCACTGCAAGGCATTAATGCTAACCTCTGTGCCTATGTACTACTATTTTTTCCAAATGGTTTTGGTGTCCAAACTAACCAATGTGCCCTGTGTTTGAAGATTCTTGTGTACAATAGCAAAACTCCGTTTGGGGATACTTCCTGATCGGAAGTAAATTCAGACTTGTTTGCAGTACTATCCACCTTATCATTTCATTGACACTTTCCTTATTCACCCTAAGAAAATGGCTAATTTATGTATTTCCCTTATTTAGCAATAATGTGAAATAATGAAAATATATACATTCAGAAAATTTTAAATTAGTGAAAACTGACCAGTTGAAGAGGAGCAATTGAAACAAAATGGCTGCTTTTTGCTTCACGTGTCCAGCAGGTTTGCAATTCCTGTGCCCATTAAGACTTGATCCCATCTTGCCTTAAATGCTTTCACACCAAAAACTTAGTTAAAATGTTTAAAATGAAGCTGGGTAGCCAAAAAACATTGACATATTTTACAAGTGATGGCCAAAGCCCTGGCCACCGACTCTACCAAATAAAACAACCTGAAAGGGAATTAATTTGTTCTTGGTATTGTGGGGGGTGGTGAAATTTTGCCAAGTGGAAAATAAGAAACTGTGGTGTGAAAGTGTGTTATAGTGGAAACCCTGCCTTATAAAAAGCCAGCTAATCAAATCCGTTGTAATTTTACTTAGGGGCTTGTGTGTGTTCTCTTTATTACCCTGCTGAAAATTAGTTGGGAACCCACTGACAAAACAACTAAAACCTGCTGATTCCTGAGAAAAATGGAATGAAATAGGTTTATCCGGTGAGATCTGAAGGCACATAAGGACTGATTTTGAACAATTTATTTTAAATTCAGAAGAAGCAGCTACCTTATGCATAACTATAAACGTAAAGCGAACACAATTGCCACAATTGTTACTTATAACTTTAAATGAGCGGCCCTTAAATTCATATGAAATACAGCAAAGTATATGTGACACAATACAAAGCACAAAACAGAGTAGGCACAAGCAGCATTTGATGGTAGCTCATCCCTGTGCATCATGCAGGATCTAATGGATATACACCATTTATTATTTTATATTATGCATTAATTATTGGTGAAATTGTTTTGTTTGGAAAATTGACAAATACACAATAATGTGGAGCTCTGAAATTGCAGGACTGAACCTGAATATCCTTTATCTCAATTATTTCTCCATTGGCAATCTGTTTGTAGATGTTGCTTGATGAATTTCATCTTCTCCAAAGCAAACAGGCTGGGAGAACTGACTTTGGTTCTCAAAGCTGAAAGCAGGAACTTGTAAAACAGCTTCTTCCCCAGCAATGGCTTATAGAAGTGCATTGGAGTGTGTCACTGGCACTGGTGTTGGGAATTTTATTTATCTAACATTCTGTCAATATGGAAATTGCCAGTTATGTTCCTGTGCCACTGGTCGCATGGTGAGCTTCTATCCATTCCACTCTCCAGAAGTATCGGTATGAGACGTTTAACCACCAAGATCATCCTAATCAAAAGTGAACAGCAAGCTTCATCCAGTGTGTTTTCCTGTAGTTTTATCTTGATTCTAGCATGAACAGTATATTAATCATTCATGTTCATGTATTTCAATCATGTTTTACCGTACATTTCTATATTTAGAGTACATTAAACAGGGTATGTACTCTGCCTTTGCTCTTGTTTACTACTGTCGTGCTAGCTTGTTATAAAATTCATGTGTAAATCAAATTGTTATTATAATAAGAGGGAATGCCGGGGAAGAAATGTGCATAACACTGAATGAACTAGCAGATTGTTAAAAGCAAATCATAATGATCCTCTGACTTCACTAAACTAATGGTGTGTGATTAACAGGAATGGTTTTCCTGTGACTTTGTGGAACAATTTGCCCGCAGTGTCACAAGGTGGCATGGGAAGTGAATTTTGGAAAAATCTGTTATGTAATACCCATGCAGTCTAGGTCATTGTCAGCTTTATTCATTACTACCTTGACTGCCTACCAAAAGGTGTTCAAAATAGAGGAAACACCAAAGTGTTTCCAGTAAAAGCACAGCTGGGCCTGCTGCCTGATAGAATCCTAGTTTCAGGCTGCAGAAAGCAGATAACAGTGGGGGAGATGTGAGAGGGGCCAACTGTCTTAAGATCCCACATGTTCCATGCAGAACTACCACTGTGAGAAGAAGAAGATTAAACTGGGAATCACAAAACTTGAAGCTAAAACTTTCACAGAGAAATTAGAAAAGTATACTTTTCAAATGAAAGTTCTTACTTAGGCCGCGCTTGGAGAGAGGGATGTGACTCTAGGCTGGAGAATTGAGGAGGCAGTAAGTGACAACAGTAACAACACCTGGAGTAGCCCAATTAGTCTTTTCTAGATTCTACCCAAAAGATTTGAGCTGATGCCAGTTGCTAAATGAATCAATCTCATAAGTGCCAATGGTGGCAAGCCCTACTGGTAGTACCTTATGCCTTATTAAAAGACTCAGAGCCTTATCGCAATGTATTATGGAAGCATGTTAAATTGCTTCACTATTTCAGTATCAAATAAGTACACAAGGGAGAGAACTCAATAACATGTTAAACGTTAAGAGTGTCTTATTATAATAATGGTTTATAAATTGTCATTTTCCTAGCACTCAGACTCTCAGCGCACATGTTTAATTTAGCTCTCTTGACAAATGCAAGCACATGCAGGTATGGTGTGTATTAGCAGGTATTAGATGACCACAGTTGTAACTTAAGAGCTTCTTTTTTTGTGCTGTATCAGAGATCTTCAATGTAAACCTCATTTTTTTTCATCCGTCCATTATTAGACATCTGCTTATTCCCGATAAGTGAGGCAGTTAGAACCTATTCCAGAAGCCTCGGGTGCAAGACAGGACAACCTGCTGATCGGGATTCCAGTCTCACGCAGGGCACACATGCAGACAACCTTACGTCCAGTTTGTCTAGCCAGCGTGGCTTTGGAAGATATTAAGGAAATTGCAAGACCCAAAGAAATGGGAACATCAAGAGCAAACGAACTCCACACAGAAAGATGCAAGTCCAGATTTGGACCCAGAGATACCATCCCATCATGTCAAGCCAGCCTGGTGACAGTGAACTTAAATCCTTCGTATTGCAGTTACGTAGTGGTGGTTATCTGTCTATAAGTTGCAAGACTGAGAGTATCATTAGAAGTGAAGGGGATTTTTAAGGAAGGTGGTGCAGTCCTGGTCAGTGTCAGCTTGTTGCACCATATGTGAGGAGAGTATCAAAATCAAAGGCTTAGTTAAGGTCTGAGGATATTAACATCATGTACCACGCATATGTCTCTGTTACTATTCATAGCCCTATTCTGGCAGCCAGGCAAAGGTAGATGTGACAGGCTGGCTTCTGTATGGGCTAACGAAGGAACTGTGGGACTATATTCCAGAAGTGGAGTTTCAATAGAAAAACATGAAGGTACATTAAATGGTACAAAATAGGTGGACGACAGCTCTACATACAAGTGAGAAACAAAATGGAAAAAAGCTCACAAATTCAAACTAAATATTAAAACTGATGCCCATCTGCCTTCAGAAGCCATTTCTAGTTTCACCTGAGCATGTTATTGACCAATTGGTTGCCTCCAATGTGAGACTCCAAAGACAGCAGGGTCTCTAATTTGGCCTGTCCAAAGTTCAGATCCTTCAAGTTGAAAGAAATGTACAGCAGCTGGAGGGTCTAAATCCGGGTAAGGGGAAGTAAAATTGTTATTTCCAGAAAGGCTTTTCTCCAGAAAAGAATTAGGGGGTTTAAATTTCCTCGTGGTTGTCATCTTATTTTTATTTTTAGGGTTTGCTTGACTGACCAGTGTGTTGTTGTTTTTTTTTTGCTTTCCAGGTCACGCGATAGTCATGCCCCAAGTCTCACCACATGACAAGGGACAGCGTTTTATACATTTAGTCAGATCAGAGGAATGGATAGACACTCATTCTGGCTGAGCGATGAGGACCTGGGGACTCAACCTGGCTTTCTGGAAAGGACTTTTCTGCAGCAGGGAGCAGGCAAAGCTGAAAACTCAGTGGAAGGATGATTATAACAACATGCCCCCAACAGGCGTGAGAACTTGACTGGGACAGCTACTATGTGTACGTGTGTGAACTTGTGAACGTGAGGAACAAATCAATTCCAATACCTTGTCTTTATTATATGAGCTACTTCTCTTTGTGCATTCTAAACAGGAGGATGGGAAACCTGTGTTTAGGCCATTGTTGGGTCAGTGGCTGGACTTGGGATGCCACAGGAAAGACAAAAACACACGTAAAAAATCTCACTTCAGATCTTAAATACATAATGGTACATGTTTTTTTTTTACTCAAAACCTGTACAGTGGCTTTAAATGTCTTTGGATCCCTATTCATTTTGTCATATGATATTATTTTTTTGTATTATTTCTTGGCTCTAATCTTTTTTCTTTTTTGAGAATTTTTATGCCCCTCCCCCCTCCCAAAAATCCTGAAAATGAAAAAGTCCAGTACGTTTTCAATACTTTCATTTATCTGTTAAGTGACTTCAGCATATGTTGGACGCATACTAAACTTGAGCTTTTCATGAAGGATACAAACCAATGTAAAGTGGCTCATGGTGACGGAAACTAAAACCTGTATATTTTTTCTTGTTTTTTAATCTCCAAATTAAACAGAATAAAGTAAGCCGAACTCCGGCTGTTCAGAAATATATCTGTATTTTCAAAAACCTGGTAACTGGACCTGAATAAATCTACCAGTTTCACAATGGAAGACTGATAACCAAATCAGCACGATCATGGCCAAAGCTTTGCAAACATTCTGTAACTTAAGCTAAATGTCCCAACCTGTATTTGAGTGAAAAGTATATATTTGTCATGATCCTCATCCCTCCTCTTAAGGGCACTCCGACCCTTTCGTATTTTAGTTCATTACGTGCACCTGTCCCCTGTTTGTCTCTCATTATTTAAGCCTGGCGCTCCCGCTATGCCTCACTCAGCATTGGGAGATGGACGCCCGGAAGTCCACCTACCAGCGGGTCCAGGAGAGACCCGACGGCATAAGCTTCATCACGGCATCCTGGCCAGCTGAGTCCGGGGCTCGGAGCGCCTGGCCCCGTTAGCCTAGTTTTAGTCCCTGTGCCTGTTCCGGATCCCTTTCCAGATTTTAACTGTGTCTCGTCTTAGATGGATACCCTGGTTTTGGACTTTGGACTGCACCCGGATTCCCCTTTTTGGACTGTCTGGACCTGTTTGCCCTTGCCACGCCCCCCAAGCACTGGATCACTGTCCTTACGCCCACCTGTCTGTCTACCCATCCAATCCTGTACCTTCCCCTGATGTCCTTCTCCACTTACTTCCAGATTATACCGTCTGCATAGGGTCCTGAACTACGCTTCGGGGGAGCCTGGACCGGCTCCCGTTACCATATTACTGATGCGCATACAGTAAATGTATGTGCAGTTCTAATGGGTTCAATATAATAAGTTATTTTAATCATAGATTTAACAGAATCATAGAAAGAGCAAACAAAAATACAGAACAAGGAATCGTGGATAGGTTTTCAGCATGGGATATATAATACTGTCAAAAATAATTATTACAAACATAGTATTGTGTATGACCTCCCTGAGCATTAACACAATTTTGGCAGTTCTAATGTATATACTGTACCTTATCAGCCTCTGGACAGATAGCTGTGGGATGTTCCATCACTCTTCCTATGCAGTTGGGGAAGGTCGTTTAGTAGAGTTTGTTTGCGGTTGTCTCCAGTTGATGGCTGGAGCAAATTTGTCACACAGATCAGGAGAAAAAAGTTGACCCTGGCTTTGTCTTTGTTTTCTTGAGGTTGTTGCATTGTAGCACTATGTGGTTTGGCATTGCCCTGCTGGAAGAACAACATTACATGGTTGACTTGGAGCAGAGGAAAATCTATGGGCTCAAGGACTTTTCCATGCACTGGGGACTAGTAAGATTCAGTCTGTGCCAAAGGAATTCATCAGTTTATCAGAATAATCAGTTGGCTTAAACATTAAAACCTCCATTATAACTCACATCATGTCATCTCCATGTCTTCCTTCACACGTGCCTGTGGTCAAGGGCAAATGTACATTCACTAGTTGAACAAAACCACATCTCTCTGCTGCCAGCTCAAATGTTGTCTGGCCCAGGGAGGTCAATGATTGTATCTTTCAGCTTTTAACATTACCCCTGAATGGCCGCTGAGCTGATCCATTTTATGCAGACATTGAGCTACAGTCTCTCTGCAGATGTGGAAGTTATTTCCTCATGGAATGTCATGCTGTAGCAACTGCAGTCTGGAAATGGAAAAGTAATTCATTCAATGAAATATCACAATCATGTTGGTCCTAATCCTGCATGATGACACCCCTGCCTTCTCAGGTGGCTAGTCCCTCTAATTATCTGAGCAAATTCTCTCACAGACAAGCTTCCTACTTTCATATACCGTAGATGAATGCCAGCACTAGCCAGAAGGGGATCTTCATCATGTACTCAAAGCAGGTTATAGGTCGCATCTTTTCCATTTTCATATTGTGATTAAAATTATGACTTTTTGAAACATCACAATCAACTAATTTGAGCAATTTAAACAAAAACACCAAACAGTTAGTACCTGGTGTTTTTATGATAATTACACAATTTGAGCTTTGAGCCCAGTATTTCATTATCCCAAGATTCAACCAGCGAATCTGCTTGCTTTTTAAAATGCAAGTAATATATGTCTGAACTGTTAACGCTCTCAAATAGATTGAGTTCTAAGAGCCAAGTGTCACTGGTTTGAGTGTGGGATTCCCCAAGAGGTGGCGCCACTGAGCATAGGATGGAAATAGTCGGTGAAGGTTCTCTGGTTATCGAGTGGCACAGCGAACCTTGTGTCCTCCTGGACACTTGCAGACATGCGATGTTATCCTCAGCTCCAGTCAGGACTGAACCTACGGTATGTTCCAGTAACGCATTTAAAAGGCAGGTGTCTTGAAGCTGAGCGGGCGTTGGGTTGGAGGAGTCTGCCGGCACTTTCTCATTCTCCTTGTGTGCACTTGTGGAGTTTGTAGCTGTGAGTCAAGATACAGTAGGATAAACACATGGTGATTATGAAATCAGGTGGGTATAAAAATAATTGACGATTGTAGTTAAAACAAAAAAACAAAAGTTGCAAGGTCCATTCTGCGTGCTCCCAATTAGCTATTGAACATTCTGTTTCTGTGATTGTGTATCAGTATGTTTTTCTTTCCACATCTGTAATACTTTTGTTATAGTTTCTCTTTAAAGTATTTTACATGCATAATTAACTTCCGACGCATTTTGTTCAGGCAAAGTAACTCTTTTAAAAACCTGCCAGCTAATAACAATGCAGTTTGATCAGGGAGTTGCATCCATGTGCAGGCTGCAAAAAAAAAAAAACAAGCAGAGAACCAGAGGTTAATTCTACACTGAAGCTTAGCAAGAAAGAATAAATTGTTTTATTTGTGAGCCCTTCCTTATGTATGTGCAGTTTTTTCTACATTTTAGTGTGGAACTAATCTCTACTTGTTCCTATTTCGACAACAATGAAATGATAAAAAAGTTCACCCAAAGGTCTAAAAAGGTGGGCCAAGTCTTTCCTGACCATAAAAGCATGAATTTCATCCATGGGGAAACAGTAACAGACTAGGCAACATGTCACAAGAAGCAAAACTCTATGCTAACTGCCAGAAGTTATGAGAAAGAAAATTGACTCTGTAAATGTTTTGTTGAAGAGGCTGTCCTGATTACATGGTGGTTTTAGTCAATAGGTTACACTTTCATATTTGTTGTCTTCTTTACCAGTAATATGTCTTGTCGATCTGAAAGACTGTTTGGTGTCAGCGTGAAAACCTGGTAAGTCTATGCTAAGAGGATCGTCTAGATAAAGGGGGCACATCTCCGGTCCTCAAGGACTGGTGCTTAGCTTATGGGAGATAGCTTATCTCTGTTTATCTCAATGAACAATGAAAGACTTGTCCAATTAATGTTCAATCAGGTAATTAGGGGCTCAGAAAGTGGAAAGAAAACAGGAATCCTTCAGGACATCCAGGACTGGAGTTATTTTCCACTGCTGGAATTTTTTTTTCTGGGTTGGGAATCTTGTGGAATCTTGTGGTAACGCTCCTCACCCAATGAGCTCAATTAGGGTTTTGATTATTTTGCAAAGCTTGGCTGGAATGAAACCCAGCAGGTGCATGGCTCCTGAGGACTAGGGTGGGAACCCCCCTGGTCTACACAAATCTGGGGAAATGAGATGTGAAATTAAATAAAAATTTCCACTGGGGTGGAAAGGAGGGGCATTGTCAAAACACTTGGAGAACTGGTTGACCAAATTGTGAGTGCTTGCTCAACCTTGGTTGTCTGACAGCTTCATGAATCAGTTGTAAAGGCTCTGCAGAAGTGAGGAAGGAAGCAGATTTCATCCTATGTTTGAATTATTTGGGAAACTGCCAGCAAACTAAGGAAGCAGCCGGGATGTGCTGCTTTCTTAGAATCCAGTGTGCAAATTTATGAGCTGCCACTTCTCTGCAGCAACAAGAGTGCGCTCAGTGGTGTGTTGTATTTTACATCCCCTCGTGCACTCTTGTGGTAACGGTAAGCTCGGTGTTGCAGCTGGGAACCGGGAATTTGTTCAGTTGTCTGCTATGACAGAAGGAAAGGTCTGATGCTTTCTTGCGGGTAATATAATTTGCATTCCGGCAGCGAATCCCAAAAGGTTTGTTTATGTGGCTGTCAGAAAAAGGAGAAGGAAAAACACAACAACTGACTTTTAAAAGGCAAGGGTAATGATATTAGCATAATGTCATTTGCAAGTGATTCAGCAGCGCTAATTTACAATTAGGCATCATTGCAGATATCGGAGTAATTGAAGAGGAAATGCACTCAGACTTGGTCCTGATGGCGTTCTTCGAAATAGACCTACTCCATCAGGATGCTTAATGGGAAAATGGTATGGAGCAAACACTGTTTTCCAATACATCCTATCAGCATAATGCTTGTCACTTTTGAGCCTTTATCTGTCAGGCCATTACTACTCTAATATGAGCTGTTATTATTAAGAGCAGGGCATGAGAGGAAACCAATTTCGGGGCCAAACACATATTCTGTTCAAGTGCTGTCAGCTAACTGTAAATGCAGAGTCTTTTTTTAAAATGTTGGATTCCAGTCAGAAAAAATAGCCTTTTTGCCTAGGACAATGGTTGTCACTTTATGTGGATAATTCATGTGTGAATTTTTTACCTGCTGCTACACACAGTTCGTACAGTGTATTCAGTGCACAGTGCTGTCAGTATGGGGGCTTTGCCCTATTTCTTAGAGACTTTACATGCTGTTACCAATAGCAGCTTTGGAATGCACAGGGGCATTAAAATAGTGTCTTTTTCCCTTTCAGTTCTCCTCAGACACAGAGGTGCAGCGTTCAAGGTTTTGATCTTGCTCTGAGCTGATATGCATTCCCCAGGCTCTGCAGATCACATTTACCCAAACATAAGTAAATAGATATGTAGTCGCTAATAGTGTTTAGTTTTGTACCCTCCAGCTTGCAGCTGCCACTTTGTCACTACCAAACCATGTGGAGACCTGGCAGAGCAGTGGCTCGGCTCCTGACCAGAGGGCCATGGGGTCAAGCCCCCTCCAAGGATAACTTGTCTGTGCCCTTGAGAAGGAGCTTTGCCCTCCTACCAATCTG